TATGGATATAAAATTTGCTATGCCCAAATCTTGCTTGTGTATTCTGTCTATGCTAGCTTAGCATGAACTTGTTCTCCATCTATCAAGCTATTTCCCACCACTCAAATCAGAATAACACACCTTTACCTCAATTTTCAAGTGTCTCTGAGAGGTTGAACTTTGAAACCATCATCTAGCATTGCTCTGGGACCACACTTTCCTAAGCAAGGATAGGCATTTATATTGATGCTGCTGCACTGTTCCCATTAAGTTGGGGACTGCAGTCTCCTTGGGTTTCTGACATAAACTAAATGATATTCACTGCAGAGTTCTCCCAAGAAATCTCCCTCATTACACTGGAACTAAGGAGTAAGAATCATTTACTCTTTTCTTTTCAAAAAGTGATGGCATTTTCTCCTTTCTAAATTAAAGGCCTAAGATCCTGGTTAATACCTGAGCTGTTAAGATAATTCTCTATCATTTTCTTCAGTGACCTACTCTGCCCATCGTCCCTTGTTCTTTTTTTTTCTGTATCATCTCTACTATACCTTGCATCTTGATATAGCTATAAATAATTTGTCCTACTCCTTATAAACAATTTAAGTAAGGTACTTGTTAAAGTAACAAAGATGTGAGGGACCAAGTTCTTGGAAAGACAGAAGTACACTATAATGAGCCTAACTTAATTACTTAGTGTTTTCCTTCAGATACTGAAAGATTGTAGAAGCAGGGAAGGGAAAGAAGGTGAGGAACAGGACAGTGGGAAACTACTCAGAAGCAAGGAAACCTGAATAGTTTTTGTCAACTTATTCATGCTAGGTGGGAAAAAATGCATTTGGAGTTTATGTAGCCAGAATTGAGGAACCAAGATCCAAGGGTAAAAATAGGTGCAAAAAAGTTAACCCAAATATCTAGCACTTTTCTCCTAGAGCCATTTCCTGATTCCTAATTTGCATAGGACAGTGTTTGAAAAAGCATAGGATAATTATGGCACTCTTAAAGTGCTAAAGAGACAAAAATTAGTATTCGGAACGTACCAAAGAGGATGGAACATAGTAAAAACCCCTGGAAATTTATGTTAGCAGCAGATTTCTCATCAGAAACTACAGAGGCCAGAGGGAGTGGGATGACATTTTTAAAGTGCTGGAAGAAAAAAAGCAACCTAGAATGCTATGCCCAGCAAAACCATCTCTCAGAACTCAGGGAGAACGTATGGCATTTCTAAATAAACCAAGGTTAAGGAAGTTCTTTGCTAATAGATATATCCATAAGAAATGCTAAAGGAGTGGAATAAAAGGATGAAATAAGAAAACACTCTAGAGTAATACAAGGCCATTTCAAAAAATAAAAAGTTTCAGTAAAAGTAGCTATAAAGATAAATATAGAAGGCAATACTATTGCTTTATTTTGCTTTCTAAATTTTCTTTTGATTTTCTCCATAATTTGCAAGAGAAATGCATATAACAATAATTATATTATTTGTTAACTGACATAAAATAATGTGTGTGTGCATATGTGTGTGTGGATTTTGTGAGAGGAGCGACATAAGATGGGGAGACAGACTATGTAAGAGTAGAAATTGAGCATGATATTGAAACTAAATTGGTACCAATTCAAACTAAAGTGTTTAGATTTAGGATGCTATTGTAAGCCCCATGGTAACCACTAAAAATTATTTTAGAATTATGTATACAAAAGATTCAATACTTTCCATTCCAGAATGAAAAATATGTTTCTTTGTGTGGTTGTGCCATATACGGTCATCAGTGTCTTTATTGCTGACTGCTTGTAAAACATTGATATTTAATGTCCACTCCTGTAGGTCCATCCATATGACTTCTACTCTTCCTCAGACTTTCTTGCTCAGATCTCTTCCAATATTTCTCCTTCAAAGTCCTTATCAAACAATCAAGAAACTCTCTTCAGCCCATTGTTGTTGTTGTTAAGTGTTGTTGAGCCAGTTCCTACTCATAGAGACCTTGAGTAGGGTTTCTGAGGAGCAGCGCACTGTGCTGATCCTACAGTGCCACACCAGATGATATTAAATGCAATCTTTTTTCTTTCCATAAGTCAAGGCATTTGGTTAAATTTTAGTAGTCCTCTGTAATTAACCAATAGCCATTTATAGTTTCTAGAAGTATGTGTATTCCTGAACACTTAATTGTGCTCATGAGGAATCTGTACATGGACCAAGAGGCAGTTGTTCAAACAGAACATTGGAACGCTGAATGGTTTAAAATTAGGAAAGGTGTGAGACAGGGTTGTATTCTTTCACCATACTTATTCAACCTGTATGTTGAACAAATAATCCGAGAAGCTGGGTTCTATGAAGAAAAACATGGCATCAGGATTGGAGGAAGACTCATTAACAACCTGCGATATGCAGATGACATAACCTTGCTTGCTGAAAGTGAAGAGGACTTAAAATATTAATTGATGAATATCAAAGAGCACAGCCTTCGGTATGGATTGCATCTCAATGTAAAGAAAACAAAAATCCTCACCACTGGATCAATAAACAACATTCTTATCAACGGAGAAAAGATTGAAGTTGTCAAGGACTTCATTCTTGGATAAACTATCAACACTCATGGAAGCAGCAGTCAAGAAATCAAACGACGTATTGCATTACACAAATCTGCTGCACAAGACCTTTTTAAAGTAGTGAAGAACAAAGATGTCAGCTTGAGGACTAAGATGTGCCTGACCCAAGCCATGGTATTTTCAATAGCCTCATATGCATGTGAAAGCTGGACAGTGAATAAGGAAGACTATAGAAGAATTGATGCTTTTGAGTTGTAGTGTTGAAGGAGAATATTGAAAGTGCCATGGGCTGCCAATGGACCAATAAATCTGTGTTGGAAGAAGAGCAGCCAGAGTGCTCCTTGGAGGCCAGGATGGCCAAACTTTGTCTCTCATACTTTGGACATATTGTCAGGAGGGAGCAGTCACTGGAGAAAGATATCATGTTTGGTAAGGTGGAGGGTCAGAGAAAAAGAGGAAGACCCTCCATGAGATGGATTGACAAAATGGCAGCATCAATGGACTCAAGTGTGTCAACAATTGTGAGGTTGGCCCAGAACCGGGCAGTGTTTCATTCTGTTTTGCATAGGGTTGCTATGAGTCAGTACCTACTCAGTGGCACCTAACAACAACAACAGCAGGGCTCAGCTAGTAAATTAAATGGGCATCTGAGAGAAACCACCATTCCTACAATGTAGTACTGTTTTGATCAACTATCTTAGATGAAGCAGGAGAAGGTACAGTGTAGGAGCCTTCTCCTGGTCTTACTTAAGACAATTCGCCACAATTTAGGAAATTATGTGAACATTTCATCAGTTACCAATATATTTATTACAATAATAAATTTCAAATTTGAAATGATCAAATCAGTCTCCAGATCCATTGTGTCTCTCTTCTCTGAGCTGAATCAGGGTCAGGGTTTCATGTATTCCCTAGGCTTGATATTGTGCTATAGGATAAGCACTAGACTGCTAATCATAAATTTGGTAGTTCAAATCCACCAGCCACACTGTGGGCAACAGATGAATCTTTCTACTTCCATAAAGATTTACAGCCTTGGAAACTATACAGCATCCCTATGAATTGATTAGATTGCAGTAGGCTTGACTTTGATTTATAGACTCCTTAAGGAGCCCTGGTGGGACAGTGGTTAAAGCACTCCATTGCTAACCAAAATTCAGTGGTTCAAACCTACCAGATGGTATGTGGCAGGAAAATGTGGCAGCCTGCTTCCTTAGAGTTTATAGCTTTGGAAACCCAATGAGAAAATGCATCTCTGTTCTGTAAGGGCAGTATGTCAGAATAACTGCAAAGCAATGAGATGTTGTTGATGCTAAGTGCTGTGGAGTCAGTTCCAACTCATATCGATCCTTTATAGACATATATTTTCATTTCTCACAGGGAGCTATCTAGAAGTGGCATTGTTGGGTCCCAGGTAAATTCATGTCTGACTTTTAAAGAAATTTCAAAATTGATTTCCAAAGTAGCACTGTCATTTTATAGTCCAACTAAGGATGTATGAGGATTCCAGTTACTCCGTATCCACGCCAATATCTAGTACTTTCTTTTTGATTATAGTTTTGCTGCTGTTGTTGTTATGGGGTGCCATAGAGTCATTTCTGACTCAAAGCAGCCTTAGGAGACAGACTTCAATTGTCCCATGTGTTTTCTAGGCTGTGATCATTGCGAGGGCACATCACTCAGCCATTTTTTCGAGGAGCTGTACAAACTGTCAACCTTTCAGTAGCTAAGCACTGAACTGTCACACCATCAGGGTTCCCAGGAGTGATTAAGTGGTATCTTATTGTGGCTATAATATTTATTTTTCTAAAGAGTAATTCTGTGGAACATTATGTCATGTATTTTTAAACTAAATGCCTATTTTCCTTGATGGTATAAATATACAAATTGACAGTCCATTTTACAATCAGGTGGCTTGTCTTTTATAATTAAACTATTAAGACTTCTTTATATATTTTGGATGCAAGCCCTTTGTCAATCAGAAGAGTTTTTGATATGTTCTCCCAGTCTGAGGATTACTTTATTCATTTTCTGAAAGGAGATTTTTGAAGCACGATAGTGTTTCATTTTGACTTCTATTATAATTTTTCTTTAATTTCCTTGTTATTGTTTCTGCACCTGTGAAATTTTTGCCTGACCCATGGTTATGAAAAATTTCTCCTATCTTTATTTTTAAAAATGTTTTATACTTTTGCTCTTATATTTAGGTACATGACCTATATGGACTTAAATTTTCTCTATGGCAAGAGGTAAGGATCTAAATTTATCTTTTCACATGGCAATATCTCATTGTGTCAGCTTCTAAACTGTTCATTATTACCCTTAAATGAAAAAGCTTCAAAACAAGAAAAAAAAAATGTTATTCATCTCAATATTCTTCAAGGGTTTCCTTCTTTCTGATGTGTTACACAGTAGAAAACATCATTGTTAACATGTAGAAAAAAATGAACTTTAATACAGACCCATCAATGGTCTGTTTATCTGTATCTCTTAAAGAAAATTCTTAGCACTCGCTCTCGAATCTGCTTGGTCCTGACCCCATAGATTACAGGGTTCAGGGCTGGGGGTACAACCACATACAAATTAGCCAAAAAGATATGGATATATTGGGGAACATTATGGCCAAAACGGTGTGTTAAAAAAGAAAAAAATGCTGGTGTGAAAAAGGCTAAGATAACACCAATATGTGAGCCACAGGTGTTGAGAGCTTTGAACCGGGCCTCCCAGGAGGGCAGGTGGAAAACAGCATGGAGGATTCTGACATAAGATATAGCAATCAGGAGTACATCAAATAATAAAAGAGAAATATTGACAAGGCCAAATATAATATTCACTTTGATGCTGGCACATGCCAGACGGGCAATGCCCATGTGTTCACAGTAGGTATGAGGGATGGTGCGGTGCCCGCAGAAGGGCAGCCTTAGGAGGAGAAACACTAGTGGAAGCACCATGTACAGGCTGCGCAGGACAGCAATGCCTGAAATGATGCTGATGATTTTGCTGGTCAGGATCATGGTGTACCGGAGGGGGTTACAAATGGCAACGTAGCGGTCAAAGGCCATGGCCACAAGCACAATACTCTCCATGACTGTAAAAAAGTGGATGAAGAACATCTGACAAAGACAGCCTCCAAAAGATATATCCCTGAGGCTAAACCAGAAGATGCCCAGCATTTTGGGAATGGTGGCTGTGGACAGACCCAGGTCAATGGTGTCCAACATGGCCAGGAAGTAATACATGGGCTCATGGAGGCTTTTCTCAGTCTGGATTACAAACAAAACAACAGCATTCCCCATGAGTGCAATGAGATACAAAAATAAAAAGGGCAATCCAATCCAGATGTGCACGTCTTCCAGACCTGGGATGCCCACAAGTAGGAATGAAGAAGGATGGAACTGGGTGTCATTAGATAGTGACATTCTTTCTGCTAAAATTGGATGTTTTGTGTTCAGAGAGACAGCTGTTGACTTTCCACTAGTGGTTTTTGCTCCACTTTTCTTTCATCCAGATTCCTGGTAAAATAAAAAATAACATTATAATCTCCCTTTATTCCCATTCAGAAAGGAGTTAAATTACTTTTCTTGTATTCTGCTAGGTTTACCTGAGTTTCAAATGGGACCAGAGGTAGAATCAGCCTCATTCTGCTGCTTTCTCTTCAAAAGATGGGTCATGAGGAAGGGATCAGAGAAAAAATATATGTTTTCCAAACTTAAATTCATAATAAAGTATTTAGCCAGAAATAAATGGGAAAAGCAAAATTCTAGTATCTGTGAATCTAGCAGCTTTCTACTTCTTTTTGCTTAATGTGCATTTTGATTTCTTATATTTTTATAATACCAAGAATACCACTATCTGGGAACCTGAGAACCTTGAAATATGATGTTTTTAGCACTTTGTGTCTTTGTGTGTTTGTACATTTTGAGTATGCTATTGAACACCCAAAGGTCAGACTCTGAGAGCAAAGATAACATAATCTTTGTTTATTCGTATCTGTGAAAAGCTCTGCAATATAATCGTTCTGAATTTTAAAAATTCGTAGACTTAATCAATTAAGTGCTGAAAGATGGAAACCACTTGATGACACTTAACAACAGCAACAACAAAATTACATTGTTTTTTTTTTCTCATTCTTATGTGGATATTAAGTCCATTAGCACAATGTCTGGAAAATAATGGTTGCAAAATTAAAATACCTTTGTTGTTGTTGTTAAGTGCCATTGAGTCAGTTCTGACTTAAAGCAACCCTGTCTAGGGTTTCCAAGGAGTAGCTGGTGGGTTTGAACTGCCGACCGTGGACTGCTAACTGCAAGGTCTGCTCCTCAATAGAAAGACGAAGCTTTCTGCTCCTGTAAAGATTGGCAGTTAAAAACCATTTATAGTGTCTCTATGAGTCAATACTGACTCAGTGGCCATGGGTTTTGGTTAGTGATATATGAGGTTGAGCTTCATTTTGTATGCTTACTTCATTATATTTATCACTTTTTATTTGGGGGAAGGTGTCTGTTTAGCTCTTAATTGAGTTGTTTATTTTCTTTTTGTTGAATTTTGATAGGATATATATGCTCCTCAAAAACCCTATACAGGATCGCTATGGGTCGGAACCAACTCGACAGCACTTCACAACACAACAACAACAATATAAGCATATATGGAGTCCTGGTGGGGCACTGTAGGATAAGAACTCAACTGCAAGGTGGGTTAGAATCACAAGGTCTGTGGTTCATAGTCACCAGCAACTCCTCAGAAACCCTATAGACGGTTACTATGAGTCAAAACTCATTTGATAGTACTTAACAACAACAAGAAGCATATATGGAGTCCTGATGTGACTTCTACAACCTTATCTATAACAGAAAACAAACAAACAAGCATTGTGACATTGTTATGAGACCATTGTTGCAGCCGCTGTGACAGTTCATTCCTTTGATATGCCTCCTCTTTATTGCTGACCTTCTACTTTATTAAGTATTTCTGTGTTTCTGTGGCTTAGGAGGAAATAATTGAAGTTGAATTTCTTGGTTCTCTCTATTTTATTGTTGTAAAAAAGTAGAGAGAAAACCACACTTACCAATTTGACATTTCCCATGCCTATAATTCAATAAAGTTAATTACATCAATGATGTTCAACTGTCAGAGACATGGGTAAACTTTTGGTTTCTCTTTAGTAAGAAATAATGAAAGGATAGGAGTATCTGTCACAATTTATTATATCAAACATTTATGACCATATGTGCTAACTTTGATGGTCAATGAACACAAATTTGAATAATATCTGCCATATATACCCTCAAGACGATTACTGTACATTAAGGAAGATAAAATTCCAAGATGAAATTTGAAAATAGGATTCCAAGTGTTATGGTAAGGATATGCATAGAATGTTATAAAATAGAGTTGGGTGCAGAAAAATTCCATGGAAAAAGGTAGACTTATGCTAAGATTTAAAGAGCAATTATTTTGAAAGAAAAGAAGAAAACACATTTTATACCAGATGGAGACAACAGAAGAAAAAAGTGAGAAAATAAAAACAAAGCACAGTGATCAAAAAGGAAACACAGAGGTCAGCAAGAACAAGGAAACTATTCCATGACCGTGTCCAGAGATTCAGTAGACGGATGACCAAACTCTTACGTGTTCAAGGCTTTATCAGCAACAAGGGCTGCGTACACCAGAAATACAGAGAAAAAAAACGTATGTCTATGTCCAAAAAACTCAACAACTCACTTATCCCTTTGGATTTTCCAAGAGATTCTTGAAATGGATTCTTCTCTTTGAGAAAACACTGGTTCCAAGTTGATAAACATTGCACAAAGCAACATTTCATTTAATCATTATGTAAGTGTATGTTGTTGTTTTTAAGTGCTGTCAAGTCGGTTCCGACCCACAGCAACTCTGTATAGGGTTTCTGAGGAAGAGCTGATGAGCTTGAACCACCGACCTTGCCATTCAAATGGCTTTGCAGTCTGGCGCATTAACCCCCAGTGCCACACCAGGACTTATTATTTTAATAAACATTCTTACATCATTCCATCTGCAAAAATACTAGGGCCCAGCACCTCCCAAACCCTAAAAATATAAAAACATAAAAGCCAAAATAAACTACTGGTAGGGTAGTGGTTACGAATCAGGCTGCAAACCGCAAGGTCAGCAGTTCAAAACTACCAGCTGTTCCGAGGGAGAAAGATGAGGCTTTCTGCTCCCGTTAAGATTTACAGCCTCAGAAACCCTGTACAGGGTCGCTATGAGTCGGAAGAGTCCACGGCACATCAGAACAACAATATACAGTTTATAGGGAAAATGAGACTAGAACATAGCTTTCTAAAACATTGTCACCTGCACTGTACCTGATACAGTTGTATATAGAAAATAGGGAAACAACAGCTAAGCAAATATAAGGTATAATGATGCATTTCTGTCATCATCAGCTTCACTGTCCCTGTGCTCTGTGTGTGACACTTTGAAGAGATATATGCATATATCTAAAAGCATGTGCAGATTTGAGGGATTATAATCAAAAGAGTGTACTTTCTTTTCCTGTTTTCACTCTTCTGATCAGCTATAATTCTATACTAGCTTGGTATAAGCTCATTCCTCATCTCTCTTGCTATTTTTCACAGCTTTATGAAAAGATGACTTACCTTGATCATTAAATATCTAAGAGCAGTACTTTGAACAAACTACTTGGCATCTCTCTGGAACACTCAATTTTCTATGCTTAAGTGAAGTACATATATTTTGTTAGTACAGCCCAGATTCCTTTGGGATGGGCACAATAGTTTCTTTGAGCTCTTGACATTTAATTAATAGACATTGGAGAATTCTCTTTTGCAATCTCTTTCTCCCTACCTTAAGCCTGTTATTGTTGAGTACATGCTAACTCATAGCCAATGTACTGCACAGAGTAGAGCTGCCCCAAAGGGAGTACTAAACTGTAATCATTATGGGGTCAAATTACTAGCTCTAATGTCTCATAGAGTCACTAATCAAATGGTGTATTATTTTGGCCAATCTGCTGCACAAGACCTCTTTAAACTGTTCAAGAGCAAAGATGTCAGTTTGAGGACTAAGGTGTGCCTGACCCAAGACATGGTATTTTCAATAACCTCATACATATGTGAAAGTTGGATAATGAAGAAAGAAAACTGTAGAAAAATTGATGCCATTGAGTTATGATGTGGAAGAGAATATTTAAAGTACCATGCACCACCAAAAGAACAAACAAATCTATGTTGGAAGAAGTACATCCAAAATGCTCCTTTAGGAGCCAGGATGATCAGTCTTTGTCTCTCATATTCAACCATATTATCAGGAGTGACTAGTCCCTGGAGAGGACATAATGTTTGGTAAAGTGGAGGGTCAGTGAAAAAGAGGAAGACCCCAATTAGAGGGATTGACGCATTGGCAGAAATGAGTTCAAATATAGTGACGAATGTGAGATTGGCCCAGGCCCAGGCAGTGTTTCATTTTGTTGTGGATAAGATCACTATGAGTTGGTACCCACTTGATGGCTCATAACAACAATGACAAAAATTAGCTCATAGAACTACTAGTGGTATGAACCATTGACCTTTTGGTTAGCAACCAAGTTCTTTAACAGGGATCTTAACACTATTAATTGTACAGGGCTCTTAACACTAGTAATTGTTGTTAGGTGTCATCATCAAGTCAGTTCCATCTCATAGCTGCCTTCTGTGTAACAAAACCTAACACTTCCTGGTCCTTTGCCACCCTCACATTCATTGCTGTTTGAGCCCATTGCTGTAGCCACTGTATTAATTCATCTCTCTGAGGGTCTTCTTATTTTCTGATGACCCTGTTCTTTACCAAGTTAAGACTACAGGATAATACTTCTTTTATTATTTGTTTTCTTTAACCAAAAAATTCATTCCTTTTCCCACACTGAGAGAATTTCTATGATTTCTCCTATAAAGTTTAATCTCAAATTTCTTGTTCTAATGTAGCTGGCACTATCATAACTTCATTACCTTATCCATCAATCTCCACCCCAATTTATCTAGAAACTCTTTTTCCTAATCCTAATAAAATAATCTAGTTTCTCATTTTAAAACATCTGAGATACAACGTATCATGGATTCAACCTTTAATAATCTACTCATGCCTTGCCTTTTATTTTTCATATTATCCAGTTCAAACCTAATATGCTGCCCAGTATGGTCCTTGATGTACTTCTCATAGTCATCATTCAGCACTCATCCCTTTCTTCTCTCCATTCTAGGCAAATGGGATGTCATGTCATTCCTCAAATATCCTAAACTATTCTTCATTCAGGGATTGGTGTGGTGCTGTAGGATCAGCACTGGACTTCTAACCACAAGGATGGCAGATTAAAGCCACCATCTCCTCCTTGGAAGCCTCATATAGGGTCACTATAAGTCAGAATTCAAAGACATTTAATGCAATCTTG